AACTGTGAGAAACTATCTAAAGAGGAAATTAGGAAAGCTTCATATCTACTGAGGAGCCGCCGTGGTGTAACGGCTAGATACTCGCCTGCGGATCGGAATATCGTGAACTCGTGTCCTGACGGAGCCTGCTTTAACAATGACATTGACTCCTTGACCTTGACCCAGCCTTGAGGGGTACCAGGTACAGTCCACCTGGTCGTGTACAGTCCTAGGAAGTAGAGGTTTTCGGCGTAACGCTGACCACATCAATCATCAAGTGTCGATCGGTCTATAAAATATAGGTCTAGCCCTATATGCCTAATGAGCCTGAAATTGTGTAAAGGGGTCATTTACGTTATATATCTACTGAAGGAGCTCAGATGATCTAAGCGTCCATTACTTTGTCCACATTTTGAAAGGACACATTGATAAAGACCAATCGTCCCTTGATAGTTGATACTGTCAATAACACCGTGGCCGCCTTTACTTCCCATACATTTTTTCTGGTGTCTATTTTTATCCACTTCGACTTAAAGCCAAGGTAAATTTTGTAAATATTCCCAGTAAACAAAATGTATCCTAGAAAAACTCACAATGGTCCGGTCAGTGGGTATTTGGAGAACCTTTGATGGTCGCTTCATTACATTTTGAGAACTACTAGTCTTAAGTGATTCAATAAGAAGGCGATGGATCGCTTGGAGACAGAAGCCACTTCAGCCACAAATGTTGACTCAGTTGTTGAAATGCTGCTGAAAATTGGAAAACCAAACTTGAGCCTTGATGCTCAGACTGTTCAGTACTGGTATTGATTTTTACTGGAGCCACAAGACCTCGTGGAGCAAGTAAATGTGGAATGGGGAACAGACACGCATATTCCCCGTTCCCCAGTTCCCATAAAACAAATGATAGTTGGCAATGGAAAGGAAAGACAATGAATGAATACGGTGAACGCTGAGATTCTTGACCTAGTTTCTCATATCCTACCAACGGATAATGGTAACAGTGAAATACAAATTAAGAAGAGAACAGGAATAGCCAAACATATTTTCAGCACCAGAAAAAAAATATTATCAGACAAAAAAAATAATAACAGAGAGAGAGAGAGAGAGAGAGAGAGAGAGAGAGAGAGAGAGAGACAGACAGACAGACAGACAGACAGACAGACAGACAGACAGACAGACAGACAGACAGACAGACAGACAGACAGACAGACAGACAGACAGACAGAAGGATAGATATGGCACAGAACCCTCGACAATGAGCGAGCAAGAAAGTCGAAATGAAGCTCTGGCAAGGTCCATTTATACTGAAGACTGAGTCGTTACTTCATATAATCAAACAACAAAGTCCTTCGTCCCAATAATAATAATTAAAAAAAAAAATAACATATGCCATGAGATTCCTAAGAAAAGCTCTTAATATCCTTCTTCTTCTTTGTGTTCACCGGCTGTAAACTCCTGTGGAAAGTTCTGGTTGTTCGTCCACTTCTGGACTTTTAGTCTTTTTTTTCAGTAACTGAGTGTTGAGTGTGTATCCGTTTTACTGCAGTTGGTTCCTTGCCTCTCAGGCAGGTGCACTCCGACTTCAAAGGAAGCTCCTCCTAATAAGTGGACTCTTATGACATGCTTCTAAGTAGGCAGTGGGTTTATTCTTGTTTTCCCTACAATACAGCCCGTGAACCCAGACCGGGAGCTCTTAATATGACACGAAGAGAAAAGATCAGGAACTATGAAATCCTAAGGGAAATGCGATTGAAAGGGGTGGGGGGGGGGGTAGTGGCAGCTCTTGATTTCAGTAGAAAACAACAAGTGAAATGGTTTGGTCATATAAAGCGGATGCCAACAAACAGTATACAAAGAGCAAGCAACGATGTACACACCAGGCGGGAGGCAAAGAAGAGACCAACCATGCAAACGGTGGACTGAGGGAATAACAGTGCCTGGGAATCCCTACTCGAAGTGCATAAACGGGCAATTCCCCCTAAATTACACTTCACCTCGACACCGCACAAGAGGATCACATCTGCACGCAAAACTCCAAGTTCTACAACAAGACTTCAGTCCAGAAGTGGACGGACAACCAGATGTTACTACTTCTACTACTGTTGCTGCTGCTACTACCACTACTACTACTGCTGCTGCTGTTACTGCTGCTGCTGCTGCTGCTGCTACTACTACTACTACTACTACTACTACTACTACTAGTACTACTAAGGAAGCTATTACCTATCTTAATTGTGAGGAGAAAATATAAAAGATAAAATAACCTGCAACCTTTCTTTGAGGATGCACTACGTAACAAAAGGCCACCAAATTCCTACAAGGAAACACTGTTTGCACGAGGTCTGCACTAGGCAACAATTTCAAACAGACACATCACACATGTGCATGTGACTGTTAACTTCGCGTCACTCATCTTGTTTGTGTAATTCCTGGAATGTAACTTTAGACAATATTTTGGCAGGAACACAATTGTTAGGGACATAATTGCAGTGACTCATAGTTAAGTAGTGTGTCGCAGACACTTACAATGGTCTGTAGGTAAGATGCATATGGTAATGGCATTAAATATAATTGGAAGCAATTCTGATGCTGCCACTCCGTCTTTTCTTCTTCTTCCATTTCTTCTTCTTCTTCTTCTTCTTCTTCTTCTTCTTCTTCTTCTGCCACCGCTGTTGTCACTACCAGTTCTGCTTTATCTACTACTACCGTCATCACCTCAACAGCAGCAGCAACAACTACTATTACTTCTTCTCTTTCTTCTTCTTCTTCTTCTCTTTCTTCTTCTTCTTTTTTTTCTTCTTCTTCTTCTTCTTCTTCTTCTTCTTCTTCTTCTTCTTCTTCTTCTTCTTCTTCTTCTTCACGTTCACCGGCTGTAAACTCTGGAGGAAAGTTCTGGTTGTTCGTCCAACTCTTGTTCCAGAACCGAGAATTGCGTGGATATCCGTTTTACAGATCTGATTTATCTGTATGCAGACTGTGCCTCTCAAGCAGATGCGCTCCGACTTTGAAAGAAGCGCCCAAGTATTCGACTCCTACTACATGCTTTATGGACATGCAGCGGGTTTATCCTTGTTTTCCCCCACAAGGGAGCCCTTGGAACCCACACGGGAACGAGTCTTATTGATTTCTCCACTACCATTGCTCTGTCTTCTATTTTATCTCTTCCCCTCCTTCGTCTGCCATTCCCTAATAATGTAGACCAAAGAACGACAACCCCTTTGCAGACTTACTTATAATGAGTTGGATTTTGCCGCCACTTTCTCTGCAGGATGAAATGACGAACCTGACGCCAACCCGTCTGAGTCACTTCCCACTACATACACTGTAGATGGCGGTGCTACACTTGAATTAAGTGGTATGATAGAATCACCACTATCGAGCTTAGTGAGAGAACTAAAACAAGTTCCAGTGAATGATGAGATGAAGAAAAGACTCTGGGATTGGACAGGACACACATTGAGAAAACCTGAGAACAGTATCACAAGAATGACTTTGTACTGGAACCCACAGGGGCATATAAATAAAGACAGACCAAAGGCTTCATAGAGAAGGAAGATAAAGAAGAACGTTAAAAAGGCAGCACGGGCATGGGGTGAGCAGCCTGCAATAGCAAAGGATAATATGACTCGCCGTGAGTTGGTTGAGGGCCCATGCTCCACTGGGTGATAAAAGGCAGATGAAAACAAATGCTTCACTCCCGTGCTTCTTTTAAGTGCTCGGCTAGTAAGCAACGAAAGTTGTTTCGCAAACCACAGTGACGTTAGATATACTTCTCCCCTCCTTCTTCTTCTTATCTTCCTCCTTCTCCTCCTTCTACTTCTTCTTCTGCGTTTGCCCTTTAATATGGCAGTTGGCAGGCTGTGTTGTGGTTCACAGCTAGGCTGCGACACCTGCGCCTTTCGGCAAAACACGTCCGATTAGATCAAACCCCTTTATTAGTGACCTTTTACTACATACTTTTTTAAAGAGGCAGTAGGTCTACCGTCGTTAGGTTGCTCTTGTCGATTTCCAACTGCCGAAGGATTTTCTTGTGTGCGCAACAACACACACGGGCGTCTGATCTTACTAGACAGACCAAGGGAAATTACTAGAAGTCCACGTGAAAAAAATCCTAACCTTCACCGGGGTTTGAACCCGGGACCTCCAGCACTCGAGGCGATAGCCATGCCCCGAGACCACTCAGCTTTCTACTGATACGGGAAAGTTTGCACATATATTACAGTGTTTACATGTGATGATAGAACAAATATGTGCACAATCACGCACTGGAAAAAAGGGGAGATGGCTAGACATGCAGATAGATGGGTAAACGGAAGAATATTATAATAATAAAAGACGAGAGAGAGAGAGAGAGAAAGAGGGAGAGAGAGAGAGAGAGAGAGAGAGAGAGAGAGAGAGAAAGAGAGAGAGAGAGAGAGAGAGGGGGGGGGGGGGTAATTCTATAGCAGCCGTTTCAAATGTTAAGTTGAAGGAAGCTCTTGCGTGTCTATTTTCAGGCAACTGAATAAATACAATTTGAATATCATCAAATATATCAGACTACCAAACCTGGTGCTAGCCTGTAAGGTTAGGAAAAGGCACACGAGCATAAACACAAACACACACATATGCACACATCGGTGCGCACACACTCAGATACGCGCATATGCTACAAAGACACACACACATATGCTTCACACACACGCGCACAAGCCCCACGAATACACATAAACACACGCGCGCATTTGGTCCTTTAACCACACACACACACTCACTCAACATACATACATACGTACGTATGTACACACTCACACAAAAATAAAACAAAACACAAAAACATACAACATATATACAAGCACACCCACAAAAAACACCCACACACAAACACAAAACGTACAAATACGTATAAACACATCAACATGTCTCTATGATGGCCCACATATAGGTGATGGAGGGCAGATGAATGGAGCCCAAAATATGCGGTCTCCTCAACTGTACATAACAACATTCGAAAACAAAAGCGAACAATAATGTACTTACCAAAATATACCTCTTTCTGACATTTTGGACACTTGGGCATTTTGAAATTATTGAAGAACTGTAGCCAGTAACGGACCTTGATTCGAATGTATATGGCTGACTAGACAGGTCATAAAATGAGAAAATGTCCCAGTTGAGAATTCTTATTTAGGACCGTCGCCGGTTTGCGCACGTCAAAGGCTTGCGGCTGCACACGGCTCCGTACAAGGCGTGTCCTGCAGTACACATACCAGAGATTGATACTGGGCGCAGCAACCATGCGTGGCTATTTTTGGAGTTGGTTGGGTGTGTGTTATGAATGAGGGGGCAAGAATGTCCGTGCTATGTTAGTTGAGTTCACACAACGCTTTCGGTCCCAGTCACTACTGTCTTAACGCATAGGCTTGCTGGGCACTTGCCCCGAGGCCCCACCAGCATAAGGGTCTTATGTTCAAGGGACGTTAAATCTCTCATGTCCTTATGGTTTTATAATGTACATTTGCACAGGTGCTGCTGGTTTCTTACAGCGGATAATTTTTTTGATCTTTGTTTGAAAAATAATGTGTGTATCACTATCAAACAGAACATACAGTAACTGACACACGCGTGGTGATCACTTGGAAATCATTTCACATTTACAGCAATGCTAGGTGATTATTTTAATAACATATCCGGCATACAATGAAAACTCCACAACTCACTGGAAGCTAATGCTAGAGATGAATACCGGAGAGTAACACGCCAATGAAACGCGTGCAATCTGATGTTTTAAAAATGTCCTATTACTAGATTGTTTACTTGGGAGTCGCCGTGGCGTAGCGGCTAGGCCGATCGGAAGGTCGTGGGTTCGCACCCTGGCGGAGCCGGAATTTTTTTTAAAGTGACCCTCACATCCAGGTCGACCTAGCCTTGAGTGGGTACCGGGTGCAGTCTCGTGAAGTAAAGGCGGCCGGTGTGATATTGACCACATCACCCATCTTGTGCAGATTGGTCTATAAATATATAGGTCTAGCCCTAGATGCCCTAGACGCCTAAAGACGCGGAAAATGGACCATTATTCATTTTTTTAGATTGTTTACATTTTAATAAATTAGTTTACAAGGAAATTAATATTAACCAATTACATGCCAAATTTCAACAACTGACACCCAACAATTACTGAACTACATAATTTTTTAAAGTATCGCACGACTTCTGGGAGGGACTATAAGATGTGATATCTGAGCTATAGGCCAAATACATCCGGTTTCTGCAAATTCTTAGCTACTGGCATTTTCATTGAGGGGCGATGGGTCTATTCTTTCTTCCCTTAAAATGGGAAACAGGATTCACAAAGGAAACCATCTAATGCAAATACACGTAGTGTTCATGTCATTCGCTCCCTCCTTGTTTTGCACAAAATAATTGTCATTTTTAACCGGCATTCCCCATAGGTTATAATTGTGACTAAGTTTTTTGAGCCATATAAAAGGACTTAGCATTGCACGCCACCAAGTTGCCCTAAAAAGGACTGATGCAGTGTTAATGCGATGACAGGACTGTCCCGACCGGCGACGAAGTCGTCTACCGACGATCCAGTGAGTGACCCGGTAGCTGATGGGTTATGTCCTGCTTGGACACATATTTATATCGTGTCAGTAGTCGACCCCGAGAAATGCTAACTATCTGCACGTAGTTTCCCCATATAGGATGTCATAAGAGATCATACGATCCTCTCCGGGAATGCCAGTGTGTTGGGAATAAATTGGGCAGACAGGTTGGCTAATTGTGCGCCACTAGGTGGTAACTTAAAAGATCTGAACATCAACAAAGACTGGCTAATAAAAAAAGCATCCTTTCTCGAAAGCTGAAATATTTTGGTCATATCAAGCGCCACAACGGATTGGAAAAAACTATAGCAGAGGGCATGGTACCAGGAAGGAGAAGCAGGGGTCGACCGACACGAAGATGGGCACAGGATATAAGTGACTCCTTGAGTGTGAAAGTTCATGAGGCGGGAGAACTGACGAGAGACCGAGTTTCTTTCAGGCAGACTGTGATGAGAGCGACGTTCTGCAAAGGACCTGCTACACGATGATGATGATGAGGTGGTAGATTGATAGATGGCAAGCAAAATGTTATAGGGTCCCGTTATTTCAGTGGTTCTCAACCTTCCGAATAAAGCTCCCCATGTTGTGCTTTAATACAGTTCCTCATGTTGTGCTTTAATACAGTTCCTCATGTTGTGCTTTAATACAGTTCCTCATGTTGTGCTTTAATACAGTTCCTCATGTTGTGCTTTAATACAGTTCCTCGTGTTGTGCTTTAATACAGTTCCTCATGTTGTGCTTTAATACAGTTCGTCGTGTTGTGCTTTAATACAGTTCCTCATGTTGTGCTTTAATACAGTTCCTCGTGTTGTGCTTTAATACAGTTCCTCGTGTTGTGCTTTAATACAGTTCCTCGTGTTGTGCTTTAATACAGTTCCTCATGTTGTGCTTTAATACAGTTCCTTATGTTGTGCTTTAATACAGTTCCTCGTGTTGTGCTTTAATACAGTTCCTCGTGTTGTGCTTTAATACAGTTCCTCGTGTTGTGCTTTAATACAGTTCCTCGTGTTGTGCTTTAATACAGTTCCTCGTGTTGTGCTTTAATACAGTTCCTCATGTTGTGCTTTAATACAGTTCCTCGTGTTGTGCTTTAGTACAGTTCCTCATGTTGTGCTTTAATACAGTTCCTCATGTTGTGCTTTAATACAGTTCCTCGTGTTGTGCTTTAATACAGTTCCTCGTGTTGTGCTTTAATACAGTTCCTCATGTTGTGCTTTAATACAGTTCCTCGTGTTGTGCTTTAATACAGTTCCTCGTGTTGTGCTTTAATTCAGTTCCTCGTGTTGTGCTTTCATACAGTTCCTCGTGTTGTGCTTTAATACAGTTCCTCGTGTTGTGCTTTAATACAGTTCCTCGTGTTGTGCTTTAATACAGTTCCTCGTGTTGTGCTTTAATACAGTTCCTCGTTTTGTGCTTTAATACAGTTCCTCGTGTTGTGCTTTAATACAGTTCCTCGTGTTGTGCTTTAATACAGTTCCTCGTGTTGTGCTTTAATACAGTTCCTCGTCTTGTGCTTTAATACAGTTCCTCGTGTTGTGCTTTAATACAGTTCCTCATTTTGTGCTTTAATACAGTTCCTCGTGTTGTGCTTTAATACAGTTCCTCGTGTTGTGCTTTAATACAGTTCCTCATGTTGTGCTTTAATACAGTTCCTCGTGTTGTGGCGACCCTAAACCATACACATTTTTTTTTGCTGTTACTTCATAACTTCAACGAATATTTATTTTGCGATGGTCTTTGGCGACCCCTGTGAAAGGGGTGTTCGATCCACACAAAAAGGGTCGCGACCAATAGGTTGAGAACCGCTGCTTTAGATCATCACAGTCTTAAAAAAATGGTGCAGCAAAGAGTGGATCTGGCCCACACGTACCACTCAGGGAAAGGGCTAGACGGACATACAATGAGACTCTTACTGGTAAGAATGGAGGTGGAGGCGGTCATTGCAGCTTTCCGCTGGTTAGAGATTACGACACACACATACACCGTGATTGTAACTGACTCAGAAAGCATGCTGAGGAAGGTCAGGACAGGCATGCTTCGTGCAGAGTGGCATGCTCCACTGCGGAGGATACGGGTGAGGAGTATTGTCTGGATTTTTTTCACCGGTAACGCCGGCATGTTGGGAACTGAACAGTGAGACAGACTGGCTGGCTCTGCACAACCTGGTGAAATACTGATAAGGCAGGCGTGGTTAGTGCCTTGTGGGAGAGCGTGTGCAGTTCGGAAAAGCAGAGATTGGTGAGACTGGTGCAGCGGGGAGTGACGAGGGGTTCTGGCCGATGCTTAAGGCTCAGAGGAAAGGCAAGACAGACATTTAATCAGAATACTCCTGGCACCATTAGTATCGGAACTCTACACTGGCTGCTGAAGATGGGGACGAAGCGCTTAGGGAAGTGCCCTGAGTGCCGTGATGTCGGTTCTTGAATCAGCTCAATTCTACTGGTACATAGGAACTCCAACTCTGCGCTTGCTGCTGAGATGGGGGACACCGTGCTTATGTGAATATCTCCCGAGTTCTGTGACGTCGGTTGTTTAATTATAACTCATAATCTGACGATTCTCCGAATGTGTCCCAGTCTTCTGAAATTTCAACAACTGAGCCACGAGAAAGCTGTTACAACCATTATTCTCTGTAAAACCCCACTGTTATCGGCTCTGTGGCTAAGTCGATGCGAACGCTTCGTAATGCCCGGGTACCGGGTTCGATCCCAGATGCGGGTCATACGCCTTGTGTTAGTTTCGACAGTGGTATTAGGGAGCCAACCGTCCAGACAGCAATGGCAAACTACTGAACGTAAATTTGCCTAGAGAAACCACACAACAGCCAGGGGCTGCTTGGGTTGGTTCTGCAACGTCCTGTAAAGGATAAGCAACTAACCAGCCCCACTGTTATAACCTGTATTATCTGTAATACCTTACTGTTACGTTATTCGTAACGATATTCCCACTACATGTATGCGACGATGCTACGTTGAAATAAATTAACATTTCTAATGCATTGTTAACAAAACACACCCATTGATCTAGGACACACAGATTTAGGTGTATACAAATATTTTACCGGTTGCAAAATAATCTCCACTATGTCGCCAACGTTGACCCATTGTAGATTTAAATTAAATTAGTATTTCAATTTAAGTCGACTTCACTTTGATTTTTGGTCTAGGTATTAGGCGTTGCGAACGCGTTTCGTAATGCCGGGGTGCCGAGTTACATCCTAGCTGCGGACGGTTAGAATTGTGTTATTTTCGACAGTGATACCAAGAGCTTACTCTCAGAAGCAATGGCAAACTACTGAAGGTAAAATTTGCCTAGAAAAACCACAACAGCCAAAAACCAATGGGGTTGGTTTGCGACATCCTGTAAAGCAGCGGATCTCAAACTTTTTTCGGAGCGGGACCCTTGTCGGGCTAAAAAAAAAATATCGCGGCACACCTACTTTTAAAGCGGTTAAATACTCAGGGAAAGATAAAAAAAAAAGCCTTCCCGCGAACTGAGGCAGACCAACTTGGATGGTTTAGGCTCGCAGGTGTCTGCTGAGACAATGTAACAATGACTTTACTTATAGATGCAGGTAGAAGATCGATCGCACCTCGAGATAAATACAAGGACAATTCTTAGCATTTTATACAGTATGAAACTCGGCTGAGAGTGAAACACGGCTGAGTGTGAAACACGGCTGGGTGTGAAACACGGCTGAGAGTGAAACACGGCTGAGTGGGAAACACGGCTGAGTGTGAAACAGACAATAAACTCTTTTCGAATGCGGCAAGGGAAGACAACTTAAATTTCAACTCTAAAGTATCTGCATGCCTTTTTAAATAATTTTACAATGTTTAGTCGACTTTTTTTTTTTTTTACCACCAGGTAAGAACCCAGCGAACACCCTTGAGTTAAAACGACACAGAACATACCACCAACATGTCACAAAAGCAGCTCTGGGTCGTGAGTGCTCTACAGTTGGAAAGGGGGGGGGGGGTGGGGGTGGGGGGCTTTGGGCGGAATAGAAGTGACGGAGAAAATAATCACAAGGCTACAGAGCTGAACGATGATGGAGACGAAACACGTTAGATACAAGCGATGGTAACGGTAGTCCCGGGGTGAGATGATCTAACTGGCGCAGACTTTTCTGAGCCTGAGCTGGCCTTCACCCTGAGCTGTAATCGCCATACAGTTGTTTAAAGTTACCTTTAGTGTGTATGTAGCCAGTGTGACCAATCAGATCCCCATAGCTTCATAAAGGACAGTATAACAATTGACTTGAAAGACGGAAAGGTGCTAGCTTGCTCATCATGCCCATTTCGGAGTTTAGAGAAAAGGTAAAGTCTCATTACGCCAGTCGCCTTTACTTTCAAGGAATATACCTGGTTCACACTCAAGGTTGGGTCGACCTAGGAGCCAAGGTCATTTTTGAAGAAATAAAATCAAACAGGACCCGAACCTAAGACCTTCCGATCCACAGTGAGCGTCTATCCGCTACACCATGGCGGCTCTTGCCTATTACAGAAGTGCTTAAGAATGAAAACTAAAAATGGTACCGGTGATGCGTACCTCCAGTAAAAAGCCCCGACTTTAATTCTGATTTATCAGACTTTAATAGTTAAAACTCAGTATTCCAGAAGGTTCTCAATCAGTCAGTCAAAAAGTTAGTTGCGCATGCTTTACAGCAGAGGTTCTCAAACTGGGCGCCGCGAGCGTATGCCAGGGATAGAAGTCTATGCAAACGCTTCGTAATGCCGGGGTGCCGGGTTCTATCCCAGTTGTGGGCCATACGCCTTGTGTTGGTTTCGACAGTGGTACCAGGGGGCCGACCGTCCAGGAAGCAATGGACGTAAATTTGCATAGAGAAACCACACAACAGCCAGGGGCTGCTGGGGTTGGTTCTGCAACGTCCTGTAAAGGATACGCAACTAACCATATCGCCAAGCGAACAGTGAAGGAATGGTGGTTCTTTTCTGTTAAGCAATCACACCACTTGCGTTTTATGGAAACCCCATAGTATAGAGTGGTTAGGGTTAGTGGTCCCATTCACGTTTCCCGGCCTATCAACAGACTTTCTCAGTCTGGTCTAGGTAAGAGCAGTGTTACGTTGTACTATTTTCTTAGAAAAGAAGTCTCTCGTGGAACCTAGGCTCAGACTGTGGGTAGGGGAGTTTGGGTTAGGACAAGTTCTAGATGTTTTGGGGTCGTTAAAAGCTGTATTGTCGTGTAGTATAGAACACGCGACATCAGCGCTGATGTACTTGGAGGCAAGACAACGTGACACCCCTGTGACGTAGAACAGTTTGAGAAAGCATAAAGGAAATATCAGCCAGTGAGTAGAAGGGCCTGAAATCGTAAATAGGACCGAGTTAGTAGTAGTCTCTATTCATTTAACCATAACCCTGCGTGATGTGGTCGCTTAACAGAAAAGAAAAGGAATGGTAAAGCACGCATAACATCACTTGTTACTTTAACATAACACAAAAACTAGTTACAGATAGAGATAATAATTATAAAAAAAAATTGTCCAACAACAAATTTTGTTTTGTAAATCTCTGGACCGATTCTGTTTTTTTTTTTAATTCATGGGAGATAACTCTCAATATTCAAACCAAAAGTGGTTTCTGTTTCGTGTGTAATTATTGTTTACCACAATAACATATTTTTGACGATGTTTTATTGCGATAATTTACAATTGTTTTGAGACAAGCTCGAAAGAAACTCTTCGGTTGGTGTGTGTTTCGAGCAAGCCGATAATTTGGCGTGTAGATTCTATAACTTTTTAAACATAAATCATGTTTGTGTTAGTACAAATGAAAGACACGGTTCGGATTCCCCCGAGGCTCTTTAATCTTGACACCATGGATGCTATCAGGGAGGCACTCAACAAAAAATTTGCCAATAAGGTATACCAAATACCAGTATACGTTCTTCTTGTACATTTGTAATAATTGAAAGGCGTTGGCAGCCCATCAGTTTTTATATTTTTTTCAGAAACAAAACTTTAAGATTGGATTATTCATTAATGATTTTTTGTTGGCTAAACCATATTATTTAATATCTCATAACTGAGGTCAGAAAAAAAAAATGATTATATTTTATTATGATATTATAAATTAATTACAAAAATTAAATTTCTTCAACTTTTGATTTGCACAATCTTAAGATTCCTATGCCCTTTCATCGTCTGGGGAAAGGCGGAAAGGTGCCAACTTGCACATCAATCCAGTATTTCTGAGCTTAGCAAGCAAAGAGCCGCCCCAATGAGGTGAAACTTTGGTACTGTGTGGGTCAGGAGTAAAGTTTCCACATCAGACCCACTCTCATAAATAAAGTCCCTTTTGTTGACTTGCAGAGATAGTTTGAGAAAATAAGCAAAAACAGTGTTACGAAAAAGAAATAAGAAAAAAAATTCAGTAACTTACTAACTATAAATTGAATGTTTCTGACAAAACTTTAGGCTATCCTCCAAATAACGTTCCCAAATTATTGAGGCTGAAAATATACCCTAACAGGGCCTCAGACCGGCGACTACACGGCAAACCATGGAAAAGCTTCTGCCGAGTTAAAGTCACAGCCAAGAGTATCTCCCGCGCCATGCATAGCGGAGCGGGGCTAAACTAGATGGCTGGGACTCACAAGCAACAGCATCTCCTGCAGTTTGTTTCATTTTATTTGCTCATGAGTCCCAGCCATCTAGTTTAGCCCCACTCCACGCCGCGTGTAGCGGCGCGGGAGATACTCGTGGCGGTATAGTTGCCGGAAAGAAGTCTGCAATTTACATGTGACTGAGGGCTTGTTAGGGTATATTTTGGCCTTGATAATTTGGGACTGTTATTCAGAGGAAAGCCAAACTTTACTCAAAACCCCACACCATTTTTATTGACACTTTATTTGTTTCAGTAAGTGAATAACCTCCCTTTTAAAGAAAAAAACGTGCATTCATGTCATTTAATATTTTAACATATAGATTAGTTTTTATTGCTGTCAGTGTATTATGTTACTTATTGAGGATGATTTCACTGTCATATCTAGAAAAGCTGAATTATTATAACAATTTATATAGTTGTGTATATTTTCAGGTTGTTTACAAAGTTGGTCTTTGTATTGCTCTTTGGGATATAGAAACAGTTGAAGACAGTTACATTTTCCCAGGAGATGGGGCAACACACACAATAGGTATGGAACTTGTGGACTAGCTTTTCACTTGTTGTCTCCCCCATGTCACCCCGTGTTGAATTTAAACTCTCCTCCTTTTCTCCAGCAAGTATGACCAAGAAGGCGACTAATTAAGGGTGCTTCCTTCAAAGTCAGTGCATCTGCCTGCAAGGTGAGAAAAAAGCAGTCTGCATATAAATAAGCCAGATCTATAAAACAGATGTGCATATAAATAGAAGTTCTGGAACGTGACCAAAATCGGGAAGTGGATGAACAACCAGAGCGGCAAGACAGGAGTTAACATCTGGTGAAGTGAAGGCTAGGAAAGAGAAGATTTATTATCATCATTAAAAGGTGATTGCTGCAAAATCATTTGAAAATTAAATTAATGACCAAAACGAAGGTAACTGGGAATATTGATGAAAGAGTTGCTGTTCATTTTTCTTTTAATTTCATGGATTACTTTTCTGCAGGATCATTTTTTTGTAATCTCTGTGGACAAGAATTCCTATTGCTTATTTATTTGTTGATAGTCTGCCTTGAGTGCTGGAAGTCCCGGGTTTAGGTCCCGGTGAAGGTTGGGATTTTTTAACGTGGATTTCTAGTAATTTTCCCTGGTCTCCGGGTAGTAAGATCAGATGCCTGTGTGTATTATTGCAAAAAAAATCACTTAAGAATTTGATATGTTGTCTCAGGTGCTAGTCCACAGATGCACAAAGCTGATTCACCAATTATAAATGTTGCGTACATGCATCTGCGAAGCTGACTGTGCCCTGTTCCCCTATTGTAAGGTGTAGAATGATGACCTGCTATGGTCTGTTCATACTGGTGAGACATTACTTGGGGGGGGGGGGGGGGGGGCTGCTGGGATGTGGTTCATAGAATAATGTAGACATGCAGTCTTTCTTCTCCTTCACGTTCAGCAGCTGTAACTCAGAAATCCCTGGCTGTTCGTCCACTTCTGGACTTTAGTATTGTTCCAGAACTTAAGTTTTGCATCCACATCTGTTTTACAGATTTGGCTTATTTGCATGCAGGCTGTTGGTTCCTTGACTTTGAAGGAAACCCCTAATACATAGACTCTTACGAGATGCTTGTTAGGGAGGCAGTGTGTCTATTCTTTTTTTCCCACAATGGGGCCTGGAACCCACATGTGGAGAAGTGCAGTTCAGATCTTAGTGAAGCAAGTGTAATGTGGCTCTTTGGCTTACTTCTTGATCAACAGTGACCTTAGTTCTCCTCCTTCCTAAGTTAAGTTAGCAGCAATCACACAAAATAACAACAGTTAGTTTACAATCAACTGTATCAAGAGTCAACCATTCAGAAAGCAGTGGCAGACTACTGAATGTAAATTTGCCTAGAAAAAACACCTCAGCATGAAAGTGCTTGGGGTTGGTTTTGCACATACTGTAAAATATATGCAGCTAACTTTAATTCATTGTAACACGTTTTCCCTCCTCCTTCTGTTTTAGTGCACTTCAGATATGTGGTTTTTCGTCCTTTTGTGGATGAAATCTTAACTGGGAGGATCAAAAGCAGCAGCAAGGAAGGCGTACATGGTCAGTATTACAGAATAATTTATTTTATTACACTTTGTTTAGAACACAGGCTTTCTGGGAAGGCTAACCCGGGCGACATAATGGAAACAGAGCTGGAGATTGACCACACAAGCGATGGATAGACAGCGTATCAGAGGCCTTAAATAGCAGCATCTACGTAGCACCTACCAAGGCTTTTGTCCAATGCCTCTTTAAAATCTGATGCTGAAAGGCAGAACAAGACTAGAGGAGGAGAAGGAGTAGAAAATAAATGTTATGGGGGGAAGATGCTGTAGGAGATAGCAGAAGATAGGACAGCATAGTATAGCTGAATGATAACCGTTGCACAAAATAAAGATAGGACAGCATAGTATAGCTGAATGATAACCGTTGCACAAAATAGGGGATAAATGGCAGATACAGTTTGTGATTGTAGGTGTATACAAGACACAGAGTTACACATGTCAGGGCCTACATGAAGGTATAAGCAGAGATTAAACAACTGCTGCAGGGCACTATCAATGGCATAAAAGGAACATATTTCTAAAAGAGCCGCTCCTGAATGGCTGAGTGAACATTTAATGTGTGAGCTGGATGAGCTCGGGCATGGAAAAGAATGGATGGATACAGCAGTAGACATGTATAACTATCTATGCCTAGGTTGTCACCACACTAGGAAGGTATTGCAGGACCAGATTTCCTTCTCCGAGATAAGAGCACTGATAGATCAGCATTTACATCTAGAAGATATAGTCCTCTGCACAGATGGATCTGTGAAGTGTGGGTCAAAGTCAGCGTAGCATACACAGGACAAGGGATGGGAAAAACTACACAAGAGGAAAGTGGTGCTTACCAAGCAAATATGTTAGGCATGTTCATGGAGATAACCTCTCTCTCCAGAATGCTCTTACTTGAGCCTTAGAAAAAGCAGCCACACAAGCAGCAATCATCTTTGACTCCATGAAGATGCATCAGAAAATCACAACAGGGAGCTTCCACTCTGAATAAGTAGAAAGCATTCAGAAGTCACAGTTATAATCCCTCTCTTCTCTGTATCTACACTCCTGGGCATGGAGGAGGAAAAGTAAGGAATGAGCCGACCAACTGGCAAGTATTGCACCACTGCATGCTGGGAGATGCGTGGACAGAGCAGATATCATAAACACTGTACAGGCCAGGCTACCTGAAAATGACGAATCTCAAATGCTGATATGATTATGTGACCTCACAGTTAAGCCTGGGGAAGCACATCGATGCCATCTTTGAGGTCAGGCTAGAGGAAATTGTAATCAGCGTCTCGTGGGAACAGTCAGCAGAGGTACCTTGGGGTGGTGGCTGCAGCAGAAGATTGAGCACACGTGGGAGTGTCCAGTGAAGATGACTGTGATAACATAACATCTATATATACATTCATGTGTATTGGAATTTTTTGCACAGACCAGGGATGTGTCAGGCATCTGTGCTAGACTCATAGGTATAGACTAATCATCACTTGATGGGTAATGTGATCATCATCACACCAACTGCCTTTGCTTTCTAGGGCATCTACTTGTACCTATTTTAGGCTCTGTTGATTAGGAAAAGGGGGGGGATCAGTTTGCTTTCCCAAATCTGCCAAGTGCAGTATCTGTCAGTCAGTGTTTAATTGTCTGTCTCCACAACATTCATCATCGTGTTGCAGGTCCTTGACAGAATGTCGCTGCCATCACAGCTTGCCTAAAATAAACTCACTCCTTCACCAGCTCTCATGTCTTATGCACTTTCCTGCCTAAGGAGTCTCTTATTCCCTGTGCTCATCTTTTTGCTGGTCGGCCCTGCCCATTGTGCCTAATACCATGCTGTCTGCTGCCGATATTTCAACTTTAATCGTGATGTTTGACATGACCACAGTATTTCAGTTTCTAAGACAAGGTGCTATTTATGATCCGGTATCTCCTCCTAAGGGTTCCGGGTCACGTTGTGGGGAAACAAGAATGGACCTGACTCCCCAAGAAGCGTTAAGTCGACTTATTGGGGACTTCTTTCGAAGTAGGAGTGCATCTGCCCGAGCGGCTAGAAAAAAACAACTGATTGCACATAAATAAGTCAGTAAAACAGATGTACATGCAAAACTCAGGCCCTGGCACAAGTCCAAATGAATGAACAGCTAGGACTTTATGCAGGGGCATACAGCTGTTAAAACAAAGAAGAAAAAGATCCAGTTTCCTCTATATTGAGATCTTTTCGAATGTCAGTATTTCTGTTCATTTCAGGTCCTTCTATAGCATTGAGCTGAGAAGTTCCAGTTTTCTGTCTTATTGATTGTCTCTGACTCACAAGTGTATGTTACTACTGGAAGGATATATGTTTTCAAATGTTGACTTTGATTTTCTTGCTGGTGCTTAACCATATACTTTTAATGCTGTCTTCACATCCTTACTTTGAATAATACGCTGCTGTTATCTTGACATGTGTAGTCATTTTATTGTATATGATTTTTTGGGGGTAATATAATGCCTTTATAATTTTATCTGATCCACAGTGACCATGGGATTTTTTGATGACATAATGATTCCATCGGATTCCTTGCAGCACCCGTCTAAATTGTATCCTTTACTGTCATTTTATAATTATTTGTAATGTGATTCATCCAGGAAGTCTGTACAATATCATCACTGAATAGCTCAAGCAAAAGCATGGTTTCATCAGGAGAAGAATTTTGTATACAATATGTCTGTCAGCATAGAGGAGAGAGTTCTCAGACTTATTACCCTGAGAAGGCTAAGTGTAGTCACTTCTGGTTTTTGTCACAGCCCTGCAAATGTTGTTGTATTGCCATTTCTGCAGGGATCTGTTTTCGAAAAGCGTAGTTAAATGCCATTTTGAGGTCAAATGGAGCAATGATGCACAGTACAAGACAGATATAAACTAACACCATTTTCCTATTGCACCAGTGTCAGTGAAAAAGCTACTCCACTTGTTGGTGGAGTAGTTTATGTGTAGACATTGAGTGGATGTGAATGAACAGGCTCCTTCACTTGGTGGAGTAGTTTATGTGTAGACATTGAGTAGGTGTGAATGAACAGGCTCCTTCAATTGTTGGTGAAGTAGTTTATGTGTAGACATTGTGTGGATGTGAATAAACAGCTCCTTCACTTGTTGATGGAATAGTTTATGTGTAGACATTGAGAGGATGTGAATAAACAGCTCCTTCACTTGTTGATGGAATAGTTTATGTGTAGACATTGAGTGGATGTGAATGAACAGGCCACTTCACTTGCTGGTGAAGTAGTTTATGTGTAGACATTGAGTGGATGTGAATGAACAGGCTCCTTCACTTGTTGGTGGAGTAGTTAATGTGTAGACATTGAGTGGATGTGAATGAACAGGCTCCTTCACGTGTTGATAGAATAGTTTATGTGTAGACATTGAGTGGATGTGAATGAACAGGCTCCTTCACTTGTTGGTGAAGTAGTTTATGTGTAGACATTGAGTGGATGTGAATGAACAGGCTCCTTCACTTGTTGGTGGAGTGTTTATGTGTAGACATTGAGTGGATGTGAATGAACAGGCTCCTTCACTTGTTGGTGGAGTGTTTATGTGTAGACATTGAGTGGATGTGAATGAACAGGCTCCTTCACGTGTTGATAGAATAGTTTATGTGTAGACATTGAGTGGATGTGAATAAACAGCTCCTTCACTTGTTGATGGAGTAGTTTATGTGTAGACATTGAGTGGATGTGAATGAACAGGCTCCTTCACTTGTTGGTGAAGTAGTTTATGTGTAGACATTGAGTAGGTGTGAATAAACAGCTCCTTCACTTGATGGTGGAGTAGTTTATGTGTAATTGAGTGGATGTGAATGAACAGGCTCCTTCACTTTTTTAGTGGAATAGTTTAGGTGTAGACATTGAGTTGGTGTGAACTCCTTGACCTGTCTTGTCAGTAGCAAGCAGGAGCAGCTGTGGAGTTGGGAGTATGAAGCTGGTGAAGAGGGCAAGGTGGATTTACCAATGGAAATTGGAGGAGATATTAGGTGAGTACTGTGTGTATGTGAGAGAGAAAGAGTGGAAGTATCAGATAAGAGGTAGAGAGAGAGGGAGAGGTAGGATGTTGGAGGAGATATTAGGTGAGTACTATGTGTATGTGAGAGAGAGAGAGAGTGGAGGTATCAGATAAGAGGTAGAGAGAGAGAGGGAGAGGTAGGATGTTGGAGCAGATATTAGGTAAGAGAAGGGGGAACTGGAGATGTGGGGTAAAAATGTTATAAGAATGAACGGACTCAGGAACTTGGTGACTGGTGAGATTGATGGTAAAAAGAAAAAGCTTAATGCAAAGACAAAAATCAAAACATCTGGATGGTTTGGCGGTATGGATGGGAGCGAGGCAAGAACATTGATTTCATCATGTGTGATGATAAAACACGACCTGCAGTTCTTGTTGTTTATGCCTGCCGTGATGGAAGGGCTAGGTGCTCGCCTGCAAATCCAAAGGTCGTGGGTTAAAATCCGAACAGAGCCAGACATGTTTCAGAAATGACTTTGGCTGCCAGGTCATCCCAGCCTCAAATGGGTACCAGGTCAGTCCTGGCAAGTAAAGGTGGTCACTATGATCTTGACTGGCCACTGTGATGTTGACCACCCACTGTGATGTTGACCAGCCACTGTGCTGTTGACCAGCCACTGTAGTGTTGACCAGCCACTGTGATGTTGACCAGCCACTGTGATGTTGACCAGCCACTGTGATGTTGACCAGCCACTGTGATGTTGACCAGCCACTGTGCTGTTGACCAGCCACTGTGCTGTTGACCAGCCACTGTGATGTTGACCACCCACTGTGATGTTGACCAGCCACTGTGATGTTGACCACCCACTGTGATGTTGACCAGCCACTGTGATGTTGACCACCCACTGTGATGTTGACCAGCCACTGTGATGTTGACCAGCCACTGTGATGTTGACCAGCCACTGTGATGTTGACCACCCACTGTGATGTTGACCACCCACTGTGATGTTGACCGCCTCACCCACCGGGTGCTGATTGGTCTGTAGGTATAAGTCTAGCACTATTTGTCCAAAACGCCTGAAGGCATGGTAAAGAAACATTTTCATCTCACTATTCAACTGTCCATTGCCAGGTTCAGGGTTGTGGATGAAAAATTTATAGACACAACTCCATCAAGTCCTGAGGAAAACATCTCCATGCCTCCACCAGCAACCACACCCTCAGGATCCCAGGTGCCTTTATGTGATCCTGGTGCCAAGAAAGCACCATATGTTTTGACAGTAAGTGTGTATGATTTCAGTGCCAAGAAAGCACCATATGTTTTGACAGTAAGTGTGTATGATTTCAGTGCTATGAAAGCACCATATGTTTTGACAGTAAGTGTGTATGATTTCAGTGCCATGAAAGCACCATATGTTTTGAAAGTAAGTGTGTATGATTTCAGTGCCAAGAAAGCACCATATGTTTTGACAGTAAGTGTGTATGATTTCAGTGACATGAAAGCACCATATGTTTTGACAGTAAGTGTGTATGATTTCAGTGCCAAGAAAGCACCATATGTTTTGACAGTAAGTGTGTATGATTTCAGTGACATGAAAGCACCATATGTTTTGACAGTAAGTGTGTATGATTTCAGTGCCAAGAAAGCACCATATTTTTTGACAGTAAGTGTGTATGATTTCAGTGACATGAATGCACTTTATGTTCTTACAGTATTTCAGTGCCAAGAAAGCTCCTTTTGTTCTTACAGTAAGTATTTAAGTGCCTCAAAAGCTCATTATGTTCTTACAGTAAGTAATTCGTGGACTATCTTTCAGTCTTTAAGAAAGCAAATAGGGGCTTTTGAGCTAAAATGCTATAAAAAGATTCTCTGAATACCATGGACAAAGAAGAGATGAAATGCTGATATTTTAAAAGATCTGAATATCAAAGAAGAGCATCTTGTCTCGGAAACTGAAATATTTTGATTATATTAAGTGCCTTGTTGGATTAAAAAAAAAAAAAAAAAAAGCAGAATGCATGGTACCAGGAAGGAGGGACAGGACCGACCAACACGAAGATTGGAACAGGGTATAAGTGACTCCTTGAATATGAAAAAAGCAGAATGCATGGTACCAGGAAGGAGGGACAGGGCCGACCAAAACGAAGATGGGAACAGGGTATAAGTGACTCTTTGAATATGAAAAAAGCAGAATGCATGGTACCAGGAAGGAGGGACAGGGCCGACCAACACGAAGATGGGAACAGTGACTCCTTGAATATGAAAGTACATGAGGTGGAAGAACTGGTGAGAGACCGAGCTTCTTTCAGGCAGACCATGATGAGAGTGATATTCTGCAAAGGACCTGCTACAAGATGACATAACTAGACATCAGCAGCTGTGGCTTAGGCATTGCGAACACACTTTGTAATTCTGAAGTGCACGGTTTGATTCCCACTGCACTTGATTTAACAGCAAACTGCTTTGTGTTGGTTTCAACAGTGGTGTGGAGAGCCAACTGTTCAGTAAGTAATGGCAAACTACTGGATGTAAAATTGCCTAGTAAAACCACCAAACAACCAAAGAATGCTGGGGTTGATTCTGCGGTATCATGTAAAAAAGAACACTATGCAGCTTACAACCATTCGCACTTACCACTGCAAAAAAAAAAAAAAAACTAAAGTAAATAACAATAGTTTATATAAGGGTAACTACATTGGTAGGGTAACAGCAACAAAAAATGTTCAAGGAAGTGATGCCTAAAGTATAACAGGGTCTAGTTACATGTACAAAGATAGCATTTTTTAAGAAAAAAAAGATATAATTGTTATGTTTATGTACAATTTTATGACCCATTTAAATTAAAATAATGTTGCAAAATATAAATCCAACTTATGACCTGTGAGTCAGAGAACCGAACTCGGTAGTGAGTCGATGAGACCCTGTACACAACTAACATAATTAGCTAGCATGGAACAGACAGCACTGGTAGAAAGATATGCAGTTCTTGTGATATGGCAGATACAGCACAGCTGATACATTAGCATATAGATACTGTTCTAGAATTACACATTTACATCCTGTATTAATTCAGACTTGCAGTAGAGTAGTTAATGGGTCAGACATCTCTATTTTAATCATAGTTTATGTGGAAAAAAACTGTACTTTGTTGTAGCCATTAATTCTGTCAGTTTCAAAAATATGGTAGCTGTACAAAAGAGGTGAAAGTCTTCTTGTTTTGTCCTATTACTTGTGCCGTGAAGCATTGCAGAAAAGAATTACATGAGGTTTTGGGTCTTCTACCACTTGCATAGCTTGTGTTAATGTCACATTGCATTTCTGTAGTGCCTTCTTTACTCCCTCCATCCAACTCTTTCTTGGTCAGCCTCTTGGCTTGTAGCCTGCTTCATTGTTTATTGTTCATTTAAAGTTCATCTTCATCGCACATTGGACATGACCATAAATGTTCAAATTTTCTCCTAAGTTTGTCTCCAAGTATTTTTTAGGCTAACAAATCCCAGCCTGCTGTTCTCATGGTGTAAGCTCTAGCTGCTGGCTGATTTTTGATCCATTGTGACCAGATGACCAAACCATTCAATTCTTGGATGTTCTGGGAAATCATTTACTGGTACTGTGCATAGAGTAATAATAACAGCAACCAGGTCATGAGAGTTTTACTTTTACAGGTACCAGATAAACCATCATCATCATCAAGTACTTTGCCAAATGGCATGAGCAGTCACACTTCTGCTTATCTTGTTATCACCAGTAGCATGCATCAGTTTGTATGACAACAATGTTTCAGGCCATGACAAAGGACTGTTGAGGTTATTCACCCATCTTTCTGATCTCTTCCCTTATCATACATCTTTGTGATCTCTTCTCTTAGTATACACTTTTCTTATCTCTTCTCTTATTTTACATCTTTTGCAAAGGATTTTCTTCTTCTTTTACTGCCTGTGTTCACTTGTGAAGATTTTGAGGGGACTTTCAGGAAAACATTTCCAACCTTACAGAGAGTTGGAACTCAGGTCTCCGGCATGAGAGCCCCAGGCTCTTAACCGTTTGGCCACTGGCTCCTCAAAATATCAGGGAAGGGTCCTGATCACTCGTGTCTGCTGCCAACAGTGAACCTTCTTTGTTCTCCCCCTTTTGGCCTAACAGACAGTTACTGGTATACCATCGGAACTGGAACTTTTTATTTTTGTTGAAGATGGGAACGGAGCACTTATTGGAGTGTCCCGAGTGCTATGATTTCAATTCTTAATTCAAACTCCAACATTCAGCTCCTTTTGGTCCCCCAAAAATCCTAATTAGTTGCTTTTTAAGACGTGCTTAAGTGTGGCGTGTGGTTTAGAGGTTAGCAGATGCGTTTAACAATCTTGTGTTTCTCTAGTACTAGGGTTTGTAAACCCAGGGGGTGGTTTCTTTTTCTTTGTGTTCTCAGCCTGTTCTAAAAGTTCTGGTGCTTTGTACACCTTAGGACTTGAGTTGTGTTCCAGAACCTGAGTTTTGCTTGCACATCCATTTTACGTAATTAGATTTATTTGTATGCAGACTACTGGTTCCTGGCCTTTCACTCCGACTTTGAAGGAAGCTCCCCAGTTAGTTAACTCATTTGACATGCTTGCACACACACACCCCCCCCCCCCCCCCACCACCAATAGGGCTGAAGAGCCCACACTGGGAGGTAGATGATTTAAAGAAAACCTACTGTTCTCAAAGGTTTCAAAGAGTGGTAAAAGAATCACACCATGGAAGAGATTGGGGCCTCATGTAATACTCCCAAAGACAACAGTGGTGTGCTGTAGACAACCTTTATTGTTTAAACTGCACATACATTTTGTTTATTTGTTATTTTTTTTTCCCCATTAAGACATGCTTGTTATGGATTTAGTTAATCCATTCTTCTTTGATGGTTATTTGTTCCCCACGCTGGTTTAACAGACACCTTAAAAAGAAGAATCGACACGCAAACAGTATCTGTTACTTGAACAAAGAAGACACAAACAATAGATTGCACAATTTATTGCCTGGCATATTTCATTGTATCTCATCAGGTCATACTACAGTAAGAATTGATTACAATTTTAATTTAATCTGTTGTTGTGTCTTCTTTGTTCAAATTCACAACTGGGAAACATTTCTTTGAGGCTCTGTTAGATATCTGTAACAAGACTTTATTATGTTTTGTTTTTGTTTTGCCCACAGGGATCTATCAGTGAGATGGGTCTAGGAATGCTGTCTTGGTGGAACACTGGCTGATCCTCTTGCAGTATTGTTTTTCATGTAATTAAATATGTCTTGTGCTATATTTCTCAGTGTTTTGAGAATGATTCGTGTAGTGTGAAGTTGGATTCTTTGGTAAAGCAACTCTGACAGGCAGACAGACTCTCACACTGACAGGCAGACAGACTCTCACACTGACAGGCAGACAGACTCTCTCACTGATGGGTAAACAGACTCTCAAACTGACAGGCAGACAGACTCTCACACTGACAGGCAGACAGACTCTCACACTGACAGGCAGGCAGACACTCTCTCACTGATGGGTAAACAGACTCTCAAACTGACAGGCAGACAGACTCTCACACTGACAGGCAGACAGACTCTCACACTGACAGGCAGACAGACTCTCACACTGACAGGCAGGCAGACACTCTCTCACTGATGGGTAAACAGACTCTCAAACTGACAGGCAGACAGACTCTCACACTGACAGGCAGACAGACTCTCACACTGACAGGCAGACAGACTCTCTCACTGATGGGTAAACAGACTCTCAAACTGACAGGCAGACTCTCACACTGACAGGCAGACAGACTCTCACACTGACAGGCAGACAGACTCTCACACTGACAGGCAGGCAGACACTCTCTCACTGATGGGTAAACAGACTCTCAAACTGACAGGCAGACAGACTCTCACACTGACAGGCAGACAGACTCTCACACTGACAGGCAGACAGACTCTCACACTGACAGGCAGACAGACTCTCACACTGACAGGCAGACAGACTCTCTCACTGATGGGTAAACAGACTCTCACACTGACAGGCAGACAGACTCTCACACTGATGGGTAAACAGACTCTCACACTGACAGGCAGACAGACTCTCACACTGATGGGTAAACAGACTCTCACACTGATGGGTAAACAGACTCTCACACTGACAGGCAGACAGACTCTCTCACTGACAGGCAGACAGACTCTCACACTGACAGGCAGACAGACTTTCTCACTGACAGGCAGACAGACTCTCTCACTGATGGGTAAACAGACTCTCACACTGACAGGCAGACAGACTCTCACACTGATGGGTAAACAGACTCTCTCACTGACAGGCAGACAGACTCTCTCACTGATGGGTAAACAGACTCTCACACTGACAGGCAGACAGACTCTCACACTGACAGGCAGACAGACTCTCTCACTGATGGGTAAACAGACTCTCACACTGACAGGCAGACAGACTCTCACACTGATGGGTAAACAGACTCTCACACTGACAGGCAGACAGACTCTCAAACTGACAGGCAGACAGACTCTCAAACTGACAGGCAGACAGACTCTCAAACTGACAGGCAGACAGACTCTCACACTGATGGGTAAACAGACTCTCAAACTGACAGGCAGACAGACTCTCACACTGACAGGCAGACAGACTCTCACACTGACAGGCAGACAGACTCTCACACTGATGGGTAAACAGACTCTCACACTGACAGGCAGACAGACTCTCACACTGACAGGCAGACAGACTCTCACACTGACAGGCAGACAGACTCTAACACTGATGGGTAGACAGACGCTCACACTGACAGGCAGACAGACTCTCACACTGACAGGCAGACAGACTCTCACACTGACAGGCAGACAGACTCTCACACTGACAGGCAGACAGACTCTCACACTGACAGGCAGACAGATTCTCACACTGACAGGCAGACAGACTCTCAAACTGACAGGCAGACAGACTCTCACACTGACAGGCAGACAGACTCTCACACTGACAGGCAGACAGACTCTAACACTGACGGGTAGACAGATGCTCACACTGACAGGCAGACAGACTCTCACACTGACAGGCAGACAGACTCTCACACTGACAGGCAGACAGACTCTCACACTGACAGGCAGACAGACTCTCTCATTGATGGGTAAACAGACTCTCAAACTGACAGGCAGACAGACTCTCACACTGACAGGCAGACAGACGCTCACACTGACAGGCAGACAGACTCTCACACTGACAGGCAGACAGACTCTCACACTGACAGGCAGACAGACTCTCACACTGACAGGCAGACAGACTCTCACACTGACAGGCAGACAGACTCTCACACTGACAGGCAGACAGACTCTCACACTGACAGGCAGACAGACTCTAACACTGATGGGTAAACAGACTCTCAAACTGACAGGAAGATGGACTCACTGTGGCGTGGTAATTCGGTTTGTTATTTCAAATGTGCTGTGTGCCGAAGATACTAGAACATAATTTTTTATCTGGTCGGTACAAGACCTCACACACAAACAGTCTACAGAGGGAGTCGCAAACAGTGAAACATCCTAAAAGATGATCTATCTCCCAGCCTTGCTAGGTAAAGGAAAGGATTCGAGGTTTGCCCACCTGTAATTCCCTACTGTTATATAAATGGTAAATTTATCTATATTTAAATATACTAACTCGTGCTCACACATATCTTCTTCTTCTTGTGCCTTTCTATCCCCCAATGGAGCATAGGCCCTCAACCAACTAATGCCGTTCTGTCTTTCGCTATTACATAGAGCTCTCCCCATGTCCTTCCCATCTTTCTGACTTCATTCTCCAGCTCTCTTCTCCACATGTTTTTTGGCCGTCCTTTATGCCTATGCCCCTGTGGGTTCCACTGCAAATACATTCTAGTTATGCTGTTCTCCTGTTTTCTCAGTGTGTTTCCTATCAAACGCCAGCATCTTTTCCTCACCTCTTGGTCCACTGGAGCCTGTTTAGTTCTCTCCCAAAGTTCTACATTAGTTATTCTATCATACCATTTATTTTCCTCTATTCTGCGCAGGCACCAGTTAATGAATGTCTGTAATTTATTTGTATTTGCCTTAGTTGTTCTCTATGTTTCCGACCCATACAAAAGTACTAATTTGTCATTAGAATTAAAAATGTTTAGTTTAGTATTTCTTTTAATTTCTTTTGACCTCCACAAATTCCTTAGTGCTCACGGATATACACTGTCAAAATAAACTCCACAAAACTGAAATAATATTTAAAACAATTCAGTATTTGATTTGGAGTAAATCTAATCCTCGGACGGGGAAACAAATACTAATTGATGGATTGTCGTAGTGGATTGATATCCGCTCGTTGTTTGTGCTCTTTGGGTCAGCTTCTGGCTCAGCCTCAGAGACACTTCAAGCAGGTCAAATCTTCTAGTCCAGTCTAGACAGTCTGACACCTGCAGCTACACTGGAACTTCCACCTGAAACTAGAACAATTGAACAGTCCCTGTACAAGCAGTTGGGAAAGTTCTCACTGGAGGCCACAATTCCTCTAGTCCTCATATTTTGTTACACTACGCACACACACACACACACACACTCACACACACATGGGGTGGATAGTAAGTAACATGTGTTCACATTCTTAAGGGAGGTATAGAAAGGTATTTACTGAACAGAATATATACTCCTGATGGGAGAAATATTCCATCCATATCAGTTTCTTGAGGATATTTCCGAGCACGTTAGTTTAATGTTGCTGAGAGGGAAAACATTCAGCTGCGTGATTGGTTCTACTCTCTTTACATTAGAACTCCTTTCAGGGGTTAACATGCTTACACACAGTCAAATTTCAAATGGTATTCTCAGTTTAACCACATGGATTCACATCACAAAGAATGAAAATCAGAGAGTAAATTTATATGGGCGTGAAACTCATAACAGGTGCATTGCGCAGTTTGAAACTAAATGGGAATTAAAAATATTTCAGTATAATTGAGCGTTGGAGTAGATATCATAAAAATCATAGATGGCAATGGGGTTCCCATCTATCACATTATTATTATAAAATATTCAACACTAACTTCAGTTCAGCTTTGAGTGAATACATGAGCCACATCTGATTCAGTATAGTTAAAAAGCTGGGAAGGGTGAAATATAATTATTAAAATTAAACGGCCACATACAAAGGAAATGAAAATGTCTTCCTGTTATTTAGGAAGTACAGTATGTGTACCAATAATCAGTACACGGATAGGCCACCCACCTCCCGCCTTCTTCTTCTCAGTGTGAATCCAGTAAATTTAGCTACCACACGGTTTTTCCTTTTCAAGCTATTAAGCTAGTCTCAGGATTTTCTGGACTAAATTTAAATTAGGACAAGACCACAAGGAGTTTGTAACCCGGTCGCCACGAAGTCAGGTTTAACCAACTACGCTAGTGAGCCCGGCGTCATTTACTCACAGGTAGACAGACTCACACACTGACAGGCAGACAGACACACACACAGACTCACACACTGATGAGCACACAAACTCACACACAGACGGGCAGACAGACACACACACAGACGGGCAGACAGACACACACTGACAGGCAGACAGATTCACACACTGACAGGCACACAGGCTCTTATATTGACAGGCAGACAAACACACACTGACAGGCAAACAGACTCACAAACTGACAGGCAGACAGACACACACACTGACAGGCACACAGACTCACAGACAGACAGACTCGCACACTGACAGGCAGAAAGACACACACAGACAGGCAGACAGACACACACACATTGACAGGCACACACACTGACAGGGAGACAGACAGATCACACACTGACAGGCAGACTCACACACTGACAGGCAGACAGACACACACTGACAGGAAGACAGACACACACACTGACAGGCAGACAGACTCACACACTGACAGGCAGACAAACTCACACACTGACAGGCAGACAGACATACACACTGACAGGCAGACAGACTCACACCGACAGGCAGACAGACTCAAACATTGACAGGCAGACTCACACCGACAGGCACAGACTCACACATTGACAGGCAGCCAGACTCACACTGACAGGCAGACAGACTCACACTGACAGGCAGACAGACACACACACTCACACTCACACACTGACACAGACTCACACACTGACAGACAGACCACACACTGACAGGCAGACACACTGACAGGCAGACAGACTCACACACTGACAGGCAGACAGGCACACACTGACGGGCACACAGACTCACACACTG